CCAAAGTCACCTTCCCCTCAAGGAAAGGCCTCATTTGTAATTGATTTCATCTTCCACTGGAGGCAAAAATAAGCCAAGGCCACCTACATTCAAACTAGACAAAGCCCCATAATTTTCCCCCATTTTTAGGGTTTTCACATAAAAACTCTTTTGTCACTTATGAACGCTACACCTTTCTATTTTATCTGATTGTGTGTTGCATCATCGTATAAAGCTAAGACATTAAACTTTATATTTCTCTATCACCACGAATAATCCTGAACGCAATAGCAATATTTAAAAAAGTTAGGCATATAATCAATTTTGAAGAAATAGTAAAAAGCTTTGGTAAATTGAGATCCCATAGTTTCCTAATCGTCTTTGAAAACTTTTGCATTAAAACCATTCATGAAACTTGGAGATTTATCATTGTCAGAAAATAAAATAAAATTGTTTATATTTAATGCTTAGAATGACAAAGTGAAACTTTGCGTGTCAACACATTACAAATTATATAACCATCAAAATCATATTTATAGGTTTGAGATAATGAGGTTAACACTTTCTCAGGAGTGTGGACTAAATAAGAAAAAGTCAATTTATCATAGGTAGTCATAATAATCCATTAAGAAAGATAGGATATTGAATGGTTTAAAATTGGTGTCAGAAAGAGGGAAAAAAATCTTCCTCTCTTAGAAGGAAGGGGGCTATAGAGTCAAAGTCAATTATGATGAGAGAATAATTATCCATATCCTTCAATGATGGAGGGACTAAATAACTCATATTCATTAGTGGAAGATGAATAATATTTTCTCTCCAATAATAAGGGGGGACTATTTGACCCAAAGTCATCAGCGAAAGTAAGAAGATCGTATTTTTCTTAAAAATAGAGTGTCTTCATGATCCAAAGACGATGACCAACAGAAGATTTAGGAACACCAAAATGACAAATAAGAGCTTTGAGTTGTTAGATGATTGGAGTTCTATATGATTCTAGAGTTTAAAAATGCCTAAAATGAGGATAATTTTTGCATATATATATATATATATATATATATATAGTGAGACATCTAATGACATAAGTGGAGAATTAAATCAATAAAATAATTATTTAGAAGATATAACTCGGAGTTAGTAGAACAAAGATTAAACATGTGAGGTGTAATTTTTTTATTGTGATATAATAATTATCAATCAATTTTATTAGAAATAAAGTGCTACCTATAAATGAATTTATGATAGAATTGAGAATCTTAGATGTATCATTTAGAAGAATGGAGATATATATTAAGACATCACCAATAGAGTTGAGGGGTACTTAAATTGGAGAAATGCCTCAAAAGTATTATGTGATAAGAGGATATCATGGAGATTTAAGGATAAATGTTATAAAATTACAATTAAGCTGATGATTTTATATGAGTTTAAAAGTTGGATATTAAAAAATCATTGATATCTAAGTTGAGGGTGGTAGAAATGTGAATGCTTAGATTGATGTGACAAAACTATTGAGGATATTGTAAGGAATTAGTATATATTGGAGTAAAATCTATTGAAATAAGATGATTGAAAATATACTTAAATGATAACAATAATGCATTTATGAGATGAGCAGATAATTTTAGTTGTAGGAGGATTAGGAAGGAAAATTAGTAGACAATTGGATTATATATATGTGAGTTGTTCGCTTATTCTAAATTATTTTACAAAACTTAGGTTTAACACATCAAATAACACTCAATATGAACTAATGGAAAATGAGGACTCATAAAGACAGGAACCAACTAGTTGGGAAAAGGTTAATGATGATGATGACGTTCATTGTTGGATTGCAAGATTAGCTATGTTTACCTCAATTAATTAAACATATATATATATATATATATATATATATATATCATGAATTTTATTGGCTTGATTTTTAACATTCAATGAATATATTTAAGTTTGATTTATGTAAGCTTTTGTTTTAGGCATTTGAGCCCATTAGTGTTATCTTGAATATTAAATTAGGATTTTTTTAGGACCTTCGAGTTGTTATCATGGTGGTGTTGTCGATTGAACATCTCTATTGCTTAGGATTTTGTGTCACTCGTCAAGAGGTAGATGAATCATTTTTTTATTTTTTGTTACATAATCTCATGTACATTTATTTATGTGATACTTGTATTCTTATTAAAAGCAATAAATATTAGATTTACATATCATATTATTGTTCAAAAAGATAATCTCCATAATAAAAATAATCACCCGTTGAAAATAATTCATAAAAACTTAAAAACCATAAACATGTATGCAATTGCATGTAAGTCAGTAGAATCTTATTAGATATTGTCTAGCCAATTTGATGGCCCCAAAGAGTGACAACTCTATAGGCAATCATTGGATTTCTTGGAGTTAGTGTTTTGCATTCTTAGTGATGGGTATTTGACAAACCGACTATAATTATATATATAAATCTATAGATATATAAATAAATGAGTTGAAAATTGAATAATTGATGATTCATGTTATGGTACAATGATACCTATTGTGGTTGCATTTGAAAAAAATTAAATGACTTAACATTAGTAGTAGTTGTCAAATACATTTACAACATAATACATATGACATCGTTGCTTTGATATAGGGCTGCAAGCGAACCAAGCGTTCGACGAGCTACTCTTGTTCGGTTTAATTAAAGCTCGTTTGTGATCGTTTAATTAACTAAACAAACAAACTTGAACAATATTTTAAATACTTGATTCTTAAATAAACAAACTTGAACACTAATGCGTTCAGCTCATTTATGTTCGCTAACAACATCATTTGAAGCTCGTGAACAAGCTCGACTTTAAGCTTGATAAGAAGCTCGATTCGTGTTCGATTTTGAACTTGTGAATAAGCTCAATAAAAGTAATTAATATTTGATTATAGAATATGCAACAGGTAACCTTCATTTAATTACATAGAAAATTACTTTTATTATAAATGTGTTTGTTCATAAATATGTTCTTGAACTTGTTTGTTTGATAGTTTAAAAAAAATTGTTAAATATGTTCGCGAACATGCTCAATATAATCGTTTGTTAGAAAACTCGATAAAACTCATTTGTTAAGTTAATGAACATCTAAAAGTAGAGCTCGTTTATAGCTCGTTCATACTTGTTTGTTTAAAGCTCGATAAATACTAAATGAATCGAACATCAACTGAACATGAACCGAACATGAACACTCATTAATTTAAATGAACCAAACATGAATACAAACAATAAAGCTTGAACAAACATGAACCAAACTTGAACAAGCTGATATTAAATGAACATAAACGTGAACACTCACATACTCGGCTCGGCTCAGTTCGTTTGCAGCCCTACTTTGATACATTGATTATATGTTACTAGTTTAACGTTTTTATTGTTCACATTAGATGCCCCATTCTTTTGTTGTTTATGCTTTTATAGATAAGAGTTACTTATTGAGTTCGATTTGTTAAACTCACTCATTACTTTTCATAGCGGGTCCTATTGGAGTGCTTAACGGACCACCGCCTCTGGAGTAGATCTATCAATAGTAGAATTGATGTTGGGTATTTTTTATACTTTTGTTAGGTTGCTTATACAATTTCTTTGAGGATTTGGTAGTTTCTTTCCTATCATTTGTTTGTTTCATTTTTCTTTTGCTTGTAGTAGTCCTTTGGTATTATTGCAATGTTTTGAATTCATGGCAATGAAATGAGTGTTTAATTTTTCTTCCGTTGCTTACTTTGATTTAATATGTTGTATTACTTGTTTATACACTTTTCTTTTTTAAGTGCAAAAAACATATCTTTTTATCCCTCCATCATGTCCCGTATTGTCGTGGTATATCATCTTTGAGTGTGACAATTTCAACAACATATAGCAATATATATATATATTTATAACAAGAAAAACTAGACCAAAGCATGCCTTATCTCAGTCTAAGATTGATTGAGCTATCCAACTCGTAGACTACTTGATTAATTGTTCGTCAAGGCTAGACCAAGAGGCCGTCAACAATGGTGCGACAACAATTGCCACCAAGGAAACCTCAGGCCATTGAGCAAAATAAATCAATTTATAGTTTTAATGACATGAATCCAGTGAAGTTGAGAACTAAAAAATCAACAAATGAAAGAGATAAAAAAAATATTTGGGAATATTTATGGATCAAATTCGAAGCTTCCAAAAAGGACAATGATTGATTAGTTTTATATCCAAATATGCATCTCCTAATGAGCCATCATGCCTCAAAAAACTCAAAAAAATAGAGTTTCATAGAAATTAGACTAGAAAAATAGAGATTTATAGAAATTACCATCCAAATTTACATACGTGAAAAAATATTAATACATCTTAGGTTTCGTTTGAAACGGATTTTTTATTGTTTCTTAAAACAATTTTTTAGTACAGAAATTAAAATTTTTGTATTCGAAAGCTGTTTTAAGAAGCAATAAAAAAATCGTCTCAAACGAAGCCTTAGATGAAGACCTCTTAGAGGTGGTCAAAACACTCCAAACCACATTTGGCGACCCATGAGAGCCACGACCATTGCCCCTTTTCGATGCCTAATGCGCTATACGCACCGAGGAGGATGGGATGGTTGGACCAACAGGTCAGATTTGGCTAAGGCCGGTTCACCACCTAATCTCAAATCAAATTTTTTTAATGTTAACGGATCATTTTATTGGATGCTAAAATTGATTCGTTAAACTTCATATAATTCTAAAAAATAATTTTTGAAGTTAAAAAGGTACATTCTTCTTAACCGTTTAAGATCGTTTACAAGTTTGTTTGTTTTGGATAGTTATGTTAATCAAAGCAGACTCACACACACATCGTATATATAAGATTCAAATCTAAAATCTTTTAATTAATAATTTAAGCTCCTAATTAATGGATCAAGATCAGCTGTACATCGTTTAATGTTCAGCCACAAAATTTTCAAATCCGAACTGAAATAATTTTCCATCACACTCAAAGTTTAGATTTCACAAAAGTAAAAATAAATGAAGTGTCAATCTTTCTACCAGCGTCACCATTGATTCGCACATTTTATTAGCTTTTTCTGACAAGTTACAATGATAAGCACCACATAAAAAACTATAAAAAATCATGATTCATCGTTACGGATCCGAGACGTTGATTCTACGACAGCAATGGTTTTGTCTTCTCGCAGCTTCTGCGTTTGGCAAATAATAGAGCCTCTAATGGCGATCGCCGGCGACAGGAGAAGTAGCAAAGGTGAAAAAAAAAAAAAAACACTCCATTTATTCTAAGCCACCACCCAAACAATTTAGAAGTTTAAAATGGAAGCCCGTAATTACGAATTAGTATAAAACAAGCTTTTAGAGTACTCAGCGACCTCATTTAACGCCGCCCGGTGCAGCGGCGGCGGAGACGGTGGCGGTGGTGGCGGTCGCCTTCTCCAGCTTGGTGAAATCCATGCCGTCCCCGCACTCGTAGTCATCATACCTCCTAAAGATCTCGGCCAACATGAAGCAAGCGGTTGCCACAACGTGGTCTTTGGCTGCGCACTGCTTGTTCTGCACAGACGGAGTCCCCGTCTCCGGCCCGTTCGACCAGAACAAGTAGTTCAGCAGCCTCTTCCCCTCCTCTCCAATAAACCTATCAGCCACGAACTCATCTGCCCTATCAAACACCGTTGGATCCCTCATAACTATCGGCTGGTACCCGCACAAAAGCTCCCCTTTCTTCACTGGGTACCTCGCCCCTCTCGAACTCAGCTCAAAATCCTCTCTCGCGCGGCCGAATTGCAGCGGCACCGGCGGATTTAGCCGGAGCACCTCGTACACTGTTGACCACACCAGTTCCATCCCTTTCAATTCCTCAAAACCAACTACTCCCTTTTCGCTCTTGATATGGCTTCGCACTTCCTCTCTGAGTCTCTGCTTCAGCCCTGTTTTATCGCGGCCGATGGTGGTGATCAGAGCCGGGAGGAAGACGGTGAA